AGTTGAGACTATAGCTCACATGCTGCTGAGTTTCAGTCTGTCCAGGATGGTTTGACAAAGATGAAGCAGGAATTGCACCGAAATCATGTGGTGACAGTGTGAGGTAGCAATGATGCCAAACACGCAATCACCTCAATTTGTACCAAAATGGCATTCCCGTGGTATGGACCTCTATGTTAGACCATGCTGCATGCAAGCCTTGACAGGGCTTCGACCGCTGCAAGTATGGAGTGCTCAATGCCATGAACGACCATCGCGGGGTTGTCAAATGTGCGCAGTACGGCGACAGCTACCTGGTGCTCCGAGACGTGCCACTTCCTCAGACATGGTGGGTGTATGCGGGTAGCTTAGACTTTTTTGAATTTTGCCTGCTTGGAGTCTGGAGCCTTCGACATCTTTTTCGACATCTTTTTCAAAGTATATGTGTGGGTCCGTGTGCCTGCACTGCGACCAATCTTCATAAAGAATAGCGTGGAACAAGACGGGCGTTCAAGCCATAAGAAGCCAGATGATTGCTGTGCTTTGCTTCAACATGTGTAGACCCTGCTTCAACGTTAGTGCAGAAAATTTTCAGAGCATGAAGTCGTGCACGCACTGACCGCCAATGGCGCCATGAGCAGCCTAAAAGCAGGAAATTGCGTATCAAAATGCTGCCAGGCTGAGGCGTTCAGACAATATTCGCAGCAGGAGGAGCAGGAATAGTGGCAACTAGAGGACTATAGTCCCCCTTAAGTAGATTCTTAGATGAAATATGGATTTGGTATATCATAATAAGATCCCCATATACCCCATATTCTATCCACGTAAGGGGGAGTACAGTAGTTGTCACATTTTCTCAGTAAGCATTCGGACCCTGGCATTTGGTTCAAGTCCCCATCCATCAAGTTCATGTGGCTAGTTTCAAAGGAAAAGATCCAATGTTAGCGCACCCTAGGTCTTAGATGCCGTGTATCCGTACTCACAAGGGTCCATTCCTTTGAGAAGACGTCACTTATCTCCATTCGGTGGGTGTGTGATGTTCTAAACACATGTCATCCCGTGCCGCCATGAAAGACGTATGACTGGACTCTGCTGCTTCTTGTCTCCGATTGGACAAGCTTTGGTGCTTTGGTTTATAGTCCCCCTTGAGTAGATAGAATTTGGGGTATATGGGGATCTTTTTGTAATATACCCAAAGAAAGATTCTATCTACTTAAGGGGGACCATGGTTCCTTACTGGTGGCTGGTAGGGTTCGTAGAAATCGATTCTGATATTAGATCTTTGACAAGCCCTTGTAATCAGACAGATGATAATGAGAAGCGCCGCCCTAAATTTCAATCCGCCCTATCAGGTCTAGCAAGCTTGCTGGTGGCTGGCCTAGTTCTTGCTATCTGCTTGTACGAGAGCGCGTTCCGGACATCACCTCCACTTATTCCGCGAATCTTTTCGGAGCCATATGGACGGAGCCAGGTTGGTTTTTTCTCAAAATTATGGGCCCTTGACACTCCCTGTAAGAAGCATTCTCTCAATTTGTAGGGTAAGAGGGACTTCCACTTTCAATATATGGCCAGGCAGCCGCAGTGCCACAAAAGCAAAATCCTGGAGAACAACCTCGGAGAGGCGCAGCAACTTGAAACTTGAATTCCTACGCAAGGATGCCAAATTGAGCTCGAAGCACAGAGGTTTCAACTGGGGAAGAGCCATCTGGCAGGTCTTTTTTAATCAGTGCCGAAGCGTTCTTTGAGCGATGGGGCAAGAACGACAAATTTGAGGCACCAAGTGGCGGAGGAGAGAAGCCAACGTACCTGTCTCTTCTGGCGGAGATCCGGATGCAGAACCTAATGAAGCCTAATCAGATGCGTTCACTCAAGTCAGTGCCCAGTCACAGTTACAGGATACAAGGCATCAAACCACATTTTGTTCGGGAGTATCTCAGCAATGTCCCTCTATAGCCCATGAGGCGACCCTTATATTATCAAAATACAATCCTTAAATGTCCTGGGGCCCTCGAGGCCTTGCAATTTTGAGAAACTCCCATCTCATATCTCAAGATGATGCAGAACAGGATGTGCCTCAGTCATCAGGCTTTCGCTTCTGTTTGGGCAGTTTTGGCGAGGGCGAGGCCAACCCAACTACAACACTGGGATTCCTTCATTGGTTTTTGCTGCTCTTCCCAGGCCGCCAGGCCGGCATGAACCAAAGGTCCTTAGAGAAGAAGACCTGTCCGAGAAGTTACAACTACAATGGATTTGGGGATGATTTTCTTGACTTCCATCGTGGAAGCCCTTGACTTCAATCCAGCAACTTCATGCCGCTGTGGGGTCAGTCTGAGTAAAAGTGCCGGCCGTCCAGCAGAAGCGCTGCACATCGCTGCACGTATGTCGCTCAACTTGTGCATTTCTATATGTGCTTGTAGAACCCCCTATTTCCTTGGGGTAATATCCCTATACACTTTCATCCGCAGGACCTGGGCGCAGAGAGCTCAAAATCGGCATGCGAAGTCCGACAGCAACACTAGCCAACCCCGAAGTTCTGTTCTAGACGTATAAGGGGTCCTTGTAAGTTAAAGGGGTATAGTGGGTATACATATTCCTAGGCTTGTCCATACATACACATACGTACATACGTACATACGTACATACGTACATACGTACATACATACATACGTTTATGCAGACATACATACATACATACCAGAAACACACATACGGGCTCTAAGGGGGCTATGTAGGGATGTAAAGAGTTTCCGAAGGAGTTCCCTATTGAGAGTGCCCATAATGAGAGATACAATATGTTCTGAGGTTAGATTGGGGTCTCCAGGTTTTGAAATCCTAAAATGCAGTTTTAATTCCAAGCAGCATAGCATGACGACAGGGATCGAGCAGGACTTGCAAACACCTCCACTTCACATATAAGATCTTCATACTTGTTTCGGATGGCTGTAGGCCTTGAAAGCCTGGGATTCTACACTTGCGTCGCTTGAGAACTTAGCCCACGACAGAGTGCCTGATCCCAACATGCTGGCAATGTCTTGAGTCTGTATGCTTTGCATGGAGAATCTTGTAATTATCGTGCTGTACCACCCTCTCCCCTGCCTGCTCCCAACATGCCTCCGCCCTGAAATGCGACTTTCCAATTATTACTAATGAGGAATGTTGTAGGTTGGGGTCTGAATATATTGGGCCCCCTTTCTGGGAGCCTTCAAATCTTCAACCCTTGAGTCCTAGAACTTATCCTAAACCATGGACGCTAGGCGGCTGCGTTGCACCTTCTCGCCGGAGGACTCTGCAAATCTGAAAGCCGAACGTGTCCCCGGCTGGTTTCGGCTTTTGTTCGTGGCTCTTGGGACTTGCAACTACATATACCTGAGCTTCTGAGCTGGCTTATGATCCCCCGGAAGTTGCTTGGAGCTGCCAGTAGGTTATTTGATTCTATGATTTGACCTACTCATGGTGTATATATGTATATATATGTATATATATATACATGTATATATATATATATTGTGTTCCAACAACATACGATGACCAGAAGATCCAGCATCCTTGCCCAACCCATAGTAATGTTCGTGTTCCAAGAGTACAATTCATGCTTCTGTGTTCGTGTTCCAAGACCATAGAATTAGCAGAGCATCCTGCCCAAATCGTCATAACGTTCCGGTTCCAGGAGCATTCGATTAAAAGCGCATTCATGTCCAAACCCTCCTAAGGTTCGTGATCCAAGAGCATGCGTTTACCAGAGCATCCATGTGTGGATTTTTCATGTCTGGGCGGTCCACCTGGTGACGTCTGTACGAGACGACAGGTGACCATGAGGGCAACCTCGACAGAACCCTGGACATTGGATAACTATTGCCAGAGGTTTAGCTGCTGCAAGGCCCCGAACTCTTAGTCCGAGGCTTCGCTTCAAATACTGCAGCCGCATGTCCTGCTGGCATAGAAGAGTCTTGAAAAGGATGGGAAACAGGTCAAGAAAAATCAGGCGTGACCACACATGGGAAACCTCGCCAATTGCTACTGCCAGAATTCAGGGCCTTCAATCCTCAAATTCGAAGCTTTCGGGGGCTGATTCGAAGGAGAGAGGATCTCTACTTCCGGCAGTCATTTTTACCTAGCTCCCTCAACCCCATAGCCTCTGCCTTGAACCTAAGGCAAACTCTCTCTCTCTGTCTCGCTCTCTTCTTTCTCTCTCTCTCTCTCTCCTAAAAGCTCCAAGGCCAACCCCTGAATCTGGAACCGTCCTCAACCGCTAAGTCCCCCTCACTGCGGTCCTTGGCCAGGTCTTGCAGTTCTCGACTATTACGGACATGTGCCACTTGGTATGAGATTCGCTGACACTATAATCTGGTCAGTGCTTGGGGCTCTTCAGCTTGGGCTTTTGATGGTTTTAAGGGTTCACAGCTCGCAGGTGTCGAGGGTCCTGAATGCAAAGTAGGCGTGGATGCATATGCATGCCTTCAAAGGGTCCTGATGAAATTCGTCACCTTCTTCTGCGGAGTATACATGCGGACCAGAATCCAGGATGAATATCCGGACTCACACATGGTCGTTAGAAGTCACAAAGCAAGAGACGCCTGTCAAGCGTAATGAACTCCCTGTTTGGAGACAACACAACAGAAGGACGCGTAAGTGCTGTAACGTTCCTATGGCAATTGGGCGGTTGGCATTTTTTCTTCAGAGCAAGAAAGGAAAACATGTCTTTTTTGAGCCCGCTTCCAAAGCCATCGAACCACCAAGCCCAAGCCGACCAAGCCGATGTCCTTCAGCACAGGGCCCAGACAGCTTCACACTGCCAAAGGAATGGCTTTGCTCATAGAGAGAAAGATGTATCGGGCATTCTCTCGACCATGAATTGGCCACTCTTTGGTGTAGGAAGCAGTGCATGGATCACCCTATGTATCCCATCAGCCCTCCCAAAAGCATCTCAACCTTTGAGAATATCCTGAGTGGCACCCTCGAGGCTGAGCGAGTACAGCGATCAGGAGTTGCTGGAGACGTTCCTGCCTGAGAGCGACGTCCAGGGCAATTTCTGACAGGTATGGACTACCCCACTGTTGCTGCTGCTCCTGCTGCTGCCGCCTACATCCTCATTACTGTTACTCTTACTGGTGCTTCTGTGATTATTACAATTACACGCATGGCCAAAACTATAGTTACAACAGCAACAACTGCTTCTTCTGTCTTGATCTTCTTGCACATCCACATAGAAGATGGGTCCAGGTGACCTCTTAACGTACACCTGTGATTAACAGACCCCCTCCCCACAATAGGGATTACGGGATTACCCCAATATCAAGGCCCTTAAAAGGAGGGAGATTTATCAATCATGGGTCTATATGGTAGTTTCCCAAAATAAGGGGACCCCAATTTAGACCCCAATATACTATAGTCCTTATTATGGGGACCCCCAAAATGGTACCCCTCAATTTTAGGAAATCCCCATATTACCAAGGATTCAGGTGGCGAAGTCTTCCGATGCAGCCCTGCTTGGAGACTCTTCGAAAGTTGGGGCCATGAAGTACAAGGCGCTGCATGCCGGAGAAGTGGATTGTTTGAAAGATCCCTAAACCCTAAACCCTAAACTATTTAAAAGATAATTACCAGAGCCAAAAGGAGATCCCATGTGAGCTATAGTCTAAACTCCTTGAAGGGAGGTTATCTAGGGGAGTATGTAGGGGAATATCACAGTAGTTATTAAGGGGGATACTTTAGGTGCCCCCACCCTGTAATAGTGACTATAGGGATACTAGGGATTATATTAGGGTCCTCATACATTCCTATTATACCACTATTACAGGGTGGGGCTAAGGGATACTAGTCTTTTAGACTATTGCTCTTGCTTAAGTTGGCGGATGGTTAGGGATCCCAACTTTGGAAACCCCCCAAGCCTTCAACCGCAGATCAACGCAGATCAGGTGTATCATTGCTAGGAAACGTTAGGAAGGAACGTCGGAAAAGAATAGCTGCAGCTCACTTAACCTCGTGCCGCAGCTACCAAGCCAAACTCTGATGCCAACATAAGCTCAAACAACTTGCAGTAATCACTGCCCAGGCTTTGCCCATGCAATCAACACCTGAACCTCCTACAATTGAAAGTGCCTTGCCAAATTAATGGGCTACTACAGGCGATGGAGGCAGGGTGGTGTTCAGCTCAAGGGATTCATCGTTTAGGAAACACTTCAGAGACCTTGCCTGTATCTAGGATCTTGTCCCCACTCAGTAGCAGATGAATACCTAGAGTATAACATGAACATTTCAAGTATTTAGTAGCCCTTACCGCTATCATAGACTGTTACTGGCTGGTGACAGTGCCCACTGTTGCGCTCCAAGTTATTGCCCATACTAAGTAGTCATGCAACCACAATCCTTCATGTGCAGCCCGTGCACGGGACTCAGGATGCAGGCCCGGGCCCTTCAAACCATGAGGTTGATAATTTGTTCCCGCTACTGTTGGGATAATGGAATAGAAAATGGGAACTACTAAAATAGGTTCCATTGGGTTTTATAGGGGTTATATTGGGAAAATGGAAAAAAATGGAAACTACTATTTAGGGTTTAGGGCAGTAGCTTTGAGAATGCGCCTGGATTCCAGTACCAGGCCGACCCTTCCATATCTGCAATTGCCTCATCTGTCATTGGGTCTGGTTGCTCTTGCTGAGCTATCGCAGGAAACGCAGATCCACGGCGAAGTGGCCTTTGAAAAGCGTCTTTGCAAGGTCTATGGGGGGAGAGAGTCGTTCACGAGGTGACGAAAGTCACGGAGACACATGGGCACTTCGTTAAAGGGGCTCCTGATCCTGAGACATGCTTAAAAGCCCTTCAATGTAATGCCTCATGCGTGTCAGGGCATTTCTCATAACAATGTCTACATTATCCCTAGACCCTAAACCCGCAGCAATGTATCTGCAAGCTGAGGATGGCCTGTTTCGAATCCTTACTATTACACACACACATACCAAGGTAGTCTGTGGGGTCTAGGAATTTGGGACTGGATTGTCCGCTGGAAGTTGGAAGTTGGTTTTTCAGTACCTGGACCTAGGTTGGCGGGAGCTTTTCCCAAGAGGTTTTTGCATTGTTTCAAGCAACTTCCGTACCCCAACAACTGGACCAGATACGCTGACGGATTTTCTGAAAGTTATGTGGAAGCAGTTGCTCAAACTAAGGAGTGCGTCAGAAGGCTATTGTAACAGCCACCCCATTGTTGGTTGGCGGTTTGTCCTGAGCTTCTGGAAACCTCTTCTTGCAGACCAGTCTATCGGATATCGCCCTTGATTTGTTCATCAGTGCAAGTCCAAAAATCTGAAGCCCGGACCTCTAAACAGGAAGTTCCAAATTCCAAATCGTAGACAACCTATGGATAGGATCCGTGGCCCCGATCCGTGACCCCACAATGCTGCTTTGATATGTGGTAGTTTTCCAAAATAAGGGGACCCTAGTCTAGCTTGGGACCCCTAAAAACATACCCTTAATTTTGGGAAACCCCAATGTCGTCCCGTTACGGCCCTTCATTGCTGATCTGGAAGCTTCTGCCAAAAGAATGGGATGTATTCCTTATATAGCGGTGGTTTATGCTACCTCAAATGGACTTCAAAATGATACTGGTAATTATTTAGGGCTCTGTAGTATATTCAAGGTCGTGAGATGGGATGACCACACGGAACTCTTCTGACAGGTTCGTGAAGCTACATGACTTTCTGGATAAGCTGTGTAAGGGCCTGCAAGTTCAATCTGAAGCCCTAAGCTTCCCTAAACCTCAGACCCTGAGCCCCTAAATCCTAATGAACCTAAAGCCCAAAACTGATCCCAGAGGCGTTGAGTTGTCAACTGAGGCACGTGGAGCGGCTGGTGGCGCACTCCAAGTACCGCGGTCGGGCGGAGGAGAGGGTGCCAGGTGTTGGGTTTAAGGGTCTCGGCATGTTTCAGCAGAGGTCCTGGGCTAAAAAGGGGTTTAGGGTTTATCAGGGTCTGGTTTCGAGGTGTAGGTTTAGGGTTTTCGGTTCAGAGTTTAAGACCTTCACCCTCAGCTTAGGGCTGGGCTGTGAGGGTTTAGGACGATGTCACGTGTTGTCTGAGGTTCTTCCTTTCATTTTGGATTGGCTTTTGGCAGTATGTATTGGATTGCTACTGTCAGAGTACAGGAACACTGCTTCCCAACCCGAGAGGTATAGGACATAGCATGACTGAAAGGTTTGATGATCATTGTCATGTGTAGATTACAGGCAGACAGGATTCCTGGCTTTCACTGCTATCTCCTTGCACTTGTTTTGCCCATTCACATGGTCAGGGGGATCGTTATTGGGAGTATTCGGGTTGGAATTCTTCACTTGATGGAGAGTTTTGTGAGCCTCTCCCTTTGAAGCGATGCTTTGTTCAAAGCGCTTTGTGCTTTGCTTGTAGACCCGCTCCTATTTCTCATGCATGGACTTAGCCAAGCAGAGTGAGGAACCATGGGGCAGCACCGGTCATTCCCCAACTCTTAAGATAGACTTTAGGAGGACCCCCCACCCTTGTAATAGTGGTATAATAGGAACATAAGAGGACCCTAATATAATCCTTATTATCCATAGCAGTCACTATTACTGGGTGGGGGGTCCACCTAAGATAGACTGAACAATCAATCGCTGCTTCTTGTCGTCCTAGGAGCCTCGCATCAAAGCCGTCAGCCAGAAGTTTGGATGGAAGTTTTCGTGGATGGACGAGGCGGACGGCTTGTGAAAGGAAGGCGTATGGGAAGAACATCAGTGCGTCACGCCTTCAAAGATCATTTTGCGCTTCTAAGTATCCGCAATTGACGCGGACCTTCAAACAAGGACCTCGTAAGAGGACAACAACTTGGAAATGCGCTAGTTTCATGAGGCATCTCTACTGGAATGCTGACGTTCCCAGTATGGCGTGTTTACATTTTCTGCAAGGGTCCCTAGATTTCAGGAAGGACTAGGCCTGTTTGACATACGCCCCACTTACAGCTTACGGCAGTGCCTCACAAGAAGCACCTGCTCAGAAGGGGGAGCCCGGTGTAGTCTCTTATACTTATAGCTCCTATCAAAGGTAGTACAGCCGTCTCGTAGTATGCTGACCTAGGAAAGGGATCGCAAACGCTTGACTCGTGTATAGGAGCGGAAGCGCATGGAGCGCGAAGAGCGCGCAAAACTGGGCTCTGCTGCTTGGGAGGAGCGCTTGTCTGCGCCTGGCCTCTGAATAGTGGCAGTGGTGTTTTATGCAATAAGTTCTTCGTTCAACCAGCAGTAACAGCAATAAAATCTATAATGGCAGTAATCGTGGAAGTAATATTAAGAAGCCTGGACATGTTAACCTAGCTCGCAAACGTGTGGATATGCTCCGCAGTCAAGCTGCGGCAGAGTTCAGCAACTTGGACCCTGAGTGCGGGACAGCTGGCAAAGTTGACGTGGGAGATTACATTTCTGTAGGCTTACTTGCGCCACGCCTGGAAGAGATTCCTTTGCAGCAAATAATCCCAAACCCTAAACCCTAAAGCTCCGAACTGGTTACAAAGCTCCAAGAGGCCCTCGGGGGTTAGGCTTGGGATTTGCAAGCTCTCCGGCATGCGGTGTCTATTCAGGTGGTAACAGACATCATTCGTGTAGATTATATAGTCGGGTAATATTGGGATAATGGAAAAGAAAATGGAAACTACTAGAGTTTATTGGGGTAATGACAATGGAAAATGAAATAGAAACTACTATTTAGGTTTTAGGGTTTTTGTGTAGAGGGAAGATGCTTCCGTCAGGTTTTTGGGGCTTTCTGGAGTGGCTTTGCGCTCAGGCTTTGGAGGGCAGGTGCTTCACGTAACAGATCAACCCCAGATATGCAGAATTATCTGAGCTATAGTCTAAACGCCTTAAAGGGGGTCATGTAGGTAATTATATAGGAACTACTACAAGGGTTATTAAGGGGGATACTAGGAGTTTCGATAATGGCTTATACTGGAATACTTGCCGTAAGCCCTGTAGTTAGTATTAGTGGATGGGGGGACAGGTAATTCAAAATCACGAGAGTTCTCAAAACAGGGGGCGCTTAGGACCCTACGGATATTGGGACTGCAAGTGGGATTATGGGGGTCCCTCTTCAGTTTTGATTCAAATAGGGGATAGTTTCGAGAGAAACTCCAACATGGTGCCGAGGCCCTCATGGAAAAGGGGGTTCCAGATGTGAAGGACGTTCCTCATGGCTTCTGCAAGAAGGCCAGCGCGTCTCTGCTGGTGGTTAGTAGGACCTGTAGCCAATGACAAGGGAATGGAACATACGGATGGTTCTTGAGGCATGCTATGGGGACGATTAACAAGGATCTGTGCCGCCATTCCCTGCAAGCCACCAGCAAGTAACAGGGTTGAAAAGAGCCCCTGCCATGAATTTGTGCTCCGCAAGGGTTGCGCATCTGACCCTGGCTTTTGGGGAAAAAGCTAAGTGCTACGGTCCTTGCTTCTTGACAACTACGCTTTCATGGTTCTCGCGAGGCTGGTCCACACCCTCCAAACACCGAAAACAAGACTGAATGGTTTGTTGAAGCTTATCTAGGGTTTGCTGTAGTGTCTTTTGTGCTGTTTGACGGTGTTGATTTTTGGGCACCTGCTGGTCGGCCATCAAAGAGCGGTGAATGAAGGCAGCTTTACCCCGAAATCGCACTATAACGTACCCCAAAAACCTAAACCGTAGCACGGTGTCCTCATAGCGCCTATAGTGCATCTCAGCATCTGCCAGCAGAGATCAGTTTGTGACGGCATACGTTATGAGTGAAGCAAAGTTTCAGTCAGCAAGAGCAGGATTTGTTTCAACAACGCTTCCCCAAGACTTGTAAAGCCTGGGCTTTCTGTCGCCGTGTAGCTGCTGATCTCTCTTCATTAGTACTGTAGTTGTCTCGTGCTTCTGACCCTAAGCCTTCTTACAGCAACATCGCAGATCAAGAAGGCAGAGTCCAGTCCATGTGCTCCGATTCTTGTTTACCAGAGAGGCAATGGAAATATTAAAGGCCCGAACCCAAAACCCAATCTGGTGTCCTTTTCATCTTCAGCTCCATTAATGGTAATCATTTAGGCCACTAAGCTCTTAACCCCAAATACTCTACTTTTGGAGCGAGAGCCCCTACATAAAATACATAATCCCTGCGTGACATGTCCCATATGCTCCCAGTTTTTGGAAGCTTTCCTTCCGCAGGGCTGCGGGCGGAAAGTGGCACCCGGGAAGACGCGAAGAGGCAAAGCTTTCGACACCTGCTGTCGCGGCTGCACCCTGGGCTTCGGCCATGATTTGATATGTGGCTTCCTGGTTGCAATGGGTTGAGGGATAGGGCAGGGTATATGGTTGGTTGTCAAAATTATGGTCCCTTTTTGAGTACCCTAAATATTAGGGGCCGTATTATAATAGGGATCCAAAAAGGGGCCATAATTTTGACAACCACCCATATAATACAGAGGATTATATACTCCACTTTATTTAGGGTTAAGGTTTAGGGTTTGGGGTTTTGGGTTTTGCTGTGATGTGGTGCTGAAGCAGAGATTGCATGCCAAAGAGTCGCTGTGCGTCGTGTGGTGCAATGCTATGACCCGATTGTGGCTGGCCATCGCACACATACACCCACCCACGAAGTCCCAGGCGGCCTAGCCACATAAAGCTTTTCCTTCCGGGGCTCAGGACCTACACTCAGTTAGGTCCATCTTGGCCAACAACACCAATTTACATCATTGAAACCTTCATAGACCTATCAACCTCCCGTCTAGGGCCTTACTGGGAGGCTCCTGACAAGCCTTTGGAGGCGGGACTGGTAGGAAAGAATTCCGGCCCGGAAGCCTCTGAAGGGTCCAGGCCTTTTGGGGGCCCCTGTTTGAGAGGCCCTAAACCCAAAACCCTAAACCTTAACCTAAACGAAGGCCTCTGAGAGGCTCGACAGGCCCAGGCTTGGGAAAGCCCCTGGTCAAGTCCCGCCTGGGCCCTATTGTAGGTGCTCCTGTTCCTGCGGTTGTGGGAAGGCAGGTGGTAGTTTTCCCAAAGCAGGGGACCCAATATGGCTGACGCATCAAAAAAAATTGC